TTGTCGCGTCCTTTCCCTTCGCTCCAAGATGCAAAAAGTCCCAGCCAGCCTAGTCCAGTGACAAGGAATGTTGTGGTCCAAAGGACATGGAGAACCCCAGGTTGTTTGCCTTTGATCTAATAGGTATTTCACTCTATTTCACATTACAGTAGAAGGACTTTTCATATCACTATTAAAATTATTCCCTTCCCTACCCCCTCTTTCCCTGTTCATTTCCTGATTTGATTTACAACAGGAACTAGAAGGAAAGTCAGGGTGTTTTAACCTTTAGTAAGGTCTGTAGTCTCAATCTAAATCAGTTTCTGTATGTGTTGAACTGACATTTTCTAAAATGTCAGCATGTATATTGAAAGTCCAATTTATTCAGAACAGCAAGGAGAAAAAAATGAATACACTTTTCATTAAATATTACATCTCAATTATACTGAACTTATTCTAGAATAAAAAGGGAGAGAAGTACATGTGAGATGGAAAATATATGCAGCATCCTGTTAGATTTTTAAATGTTTTAAAATTTAATTTTAAAAACTGCTACTTCCCAAACCAATGAAGAACCAGTATGCATTCCCAATATTGCTTCAAATGAAGTCATTTGTCAACATGTTTTATTTATATCTTTATGCCAAATCTCAGGTCACTGAAGGAATCGATCACCAAGATGAAACTCCTAAATCAACATTCCAGCCTCCAGAACCTGATCTTTCACCTCGGGCTGCCAATATACTAGAAAACGTAAAGAAAGCTCTTTGGCTATCTGCATACAAGCGAGACTACACAGGTATACATTTTTATCAAACTAAAGTATTATAGTTCAAATCACAAACACTTTCAGATAATCATTTGGTTCTTTTTATCTTCCTAAAAAAATCCAGAGGATTTTTTTTAAAAATGTAGACGAACAAAATATTATTTGTTTAAAAGGAATAAAAATTATAAAATAATATTTTAATTACTTTTTTTTTTTAGGTAGAGGGCGTATGAACCCATTGCAGCTAGATGACTATGATGCCAAGCTTATTGGCAGAACAACAGGAGAACTGGGCAAAAGTGTGGATCTTGTAAGTACAGGAAGTGATATCATGGATCTGGATTTAGACTCTTGTCATGGCAACAATCACACATTATCTTTGGAATAGCCGATCTTCTTTGCAGGGTACAAGGATTACTTGAACAGTCCACCACAAGCACCTAATGGACTGGTTGGATTTCAGAGGGAACTTGGGGTTGTTTTTAAAGTACTGTTGCAAGAATGGGTTAAGGTAAAGGTTCTCCTCGTACATCTGTGCTAGTCGTTCCCGACTCTAGGGGGCGGTGCTCATCTTCGTTTCAAAGCCGAAGAGCCAGCGCTGTCCGAAGACGTCTCCGTGGTCATGTGGCCGGCATGACTCAACGCCGAAGGCGCAAAGAGTTCTGTTACGTTTCCACCAAAGTGGTCCCTATTTTTCTACTTGCATTTTTACATGCTTTCGAACTGCTAGGTTGGCAGAAGCTGGGACAAGTAATGGGAACTCAATCCATTATATGGCACTAGGGATTCGAACCTCTGAACTGCTGACCTTCTGATCAACAAGCTCAGCATCTTCACCACTGAGCCACCGCATCCCTAATAAGGGCTTAATATGAGTTGCTAGGAGGGTCTTTGTCTCATCTTGTCTGCCCATTGTACTTTTTCCTGAATCAGGATACCCTGCTTCTAATCAGCCTTTAATACAGTTCCTCATGTTGTGGTGACCCCCAACCATAAAATTATTTTNGAAGAAGAAGAAGAAGAAGAAGAAGAAGAAGAAGAAGAAGAAGAAGAAGAAGAAGAAGAATCCATACATACATACAGGACTTATAGAAGTTGTTGTAAAGTAACCTTATGTGTTTTATTTTCTTGCCAAATATTTATAAAATATTTGCTCTATTGTTTAGGTGTGCAAGGTATCTAAAATATAAGGCACCAGGTGCTCTACTCATAGAGGGCCGATTTCGTCCTTTTCATCCTTATGTCCATGGCAACACTGATATCCAAGGTAAAGCAAGCTTCTCTTTTTAAAATATTCATTATTTAAATATTCAGTAGTAGACAAGCAAAGTGCTCCACTGGAAATTCTAGCAGAAGGTCTATTCATGCATATGTGGAGAAAACAGGGAATTTTTTCAAAGCAGCTAGGCAAATGTTCCAGAGAGCATTGTTGCTTTGGTATTTTATGGAGGGATACTTTGCTCAAGCCATGTACTTTGAAAAGTGGCCCTTTTAAATGCTTTCCATAGCCCTAAGTAAACAACAACAACCTACATTATTCTTTAAGGCACATTGACTTTAGTAATCTTTACTATCCACTATGCATGAAATATGAACATGACTCATTTAAAATAATGCTTGGGGGACTCCGTAAGGTATAATGCAGTGTTTCTCAACCATGGCGACTTTAAGTCCTGTGGACTTCAACTCCCAGAATCCCCCAGCCAGCTGTGCTGGCTGGGCGATTCTGGGAGTTGAGGTCCACAGGACTTAAAGTCGCCAAGGTTGAGAAACACTGGTATAATGTCTTACAGAAAGCACTAAATCTAGCTTTTGGGGATTTCTTCCTACAAAGATATTTTTGAATGACCTATATATTTTGCTGTAGCGCGTTTTCCCTTTCCTCCATGTTTTGGTTGTAGCTTAAAACAGTGTTACGGAGAAAAATCAACATTTGCATTATAGACTAGGTTGGTAACTGTTATAGTCCACGCTAATTAGCTGCTAGTTGGAAAGTCTAAAATTAGTTGTGTGCAAAGCTCGCCAACCAAAATAAATACCATGAACCACTTTCTGTGTTTAGTGTATAGCAAAAGGTCCTATTTTATTGAAAGGAAATCATCCTCTCCCACAAAGAAGAACTGATAGAAAAGCTAATCTGCCTCTATTGCCATATTTTTTTAAATGTAGAATGAGTTTTTTCTTTTAAAGAGATAGAGATAGAGACTATTTTTCATTCACTAAAAATCCTAATAATAGTTATTCCCCTGCTTTTTCTACTCACAAGGATATTTCAATGTCAATTCAGCATGCAAACGCAGTTCCAGTATCTTTAGCTCTTTGTGTTTGCACCAAAAAGAATTATTTTAATAGTCCTACAGAATCAGAATCAGAGATCTAGAACTTTCTCTGCAAAGCCAGAGAAATGGAACTGCCTTTTTATTAATTTTCATGGTACTTTTAAAAACTAGACACAGTGTAATGGAAGAATATCACAAGCAATGTCAATTCTGCTAGTCTGAGCAGAACTCATAGGGATTCTAAGCTAAATTTCATGAATGTAATGTTATAATTGAATGTTTTCATCTGACATTGCAGTTGGCCCCAATAAAAAGGAAGATGCTAATGAATCTATCTATAGAGAAGCTGTGACGTGTTCACGTCATGTAAGTAATTATTACTAGTAGTTTAAAAACATCATAAACTTGGTGGCAAAACACATGGCATGCATATTTCAGATCTCAGGTGCAATATCTGATATCTTCCAGTAAGCTTAACCTGAAATCTCAAAAAGCTGCTATCTCTGGGAGACATAGAACTTCTTGGGGTGACTTGGGGCAGTTTCTTTTTTTCCTTCTCAGTCCTGGAAAGAGGTTAATGGAAAGTCACCTCTGAAATATTAGCAAGAAAATTACATGGGCTTGTCAATGTAGTCATGAGGACTGATCCAAAGTCACAACAACAACAACAATAATACAGTGCATTTTAAAAAACAACAATAGGTAAAGCAGATAATAACAAAACCCAGCAATGGCTAACAGTAGGAAAGTTGAAGAAAGAAATGGGGGCTATTTCTGACTGCACAAGATCAAACCTTAAGAATAAATGCATATAAAGCAGAGGTGGTATTCTGCTGGTTCACCCCAGTTTGGGAAAACTGGTAGTGGCGGCAGTGGGAGGCTCCACCCACCTGCCCAGATATCGCCATGGATGCTCTGTGCATGTTCAGAAGCGCCACACGTGAGCGAAGCTAATTCCGAACCAACAGCGAAGGTAAGAGGATTTCATGCCTGATATAAAGCCAGAATTAAGAAGACATCAACAGATAGTAAGTGCCACCTCTGCAAAAAAAAGCTGAAGAAACTGGTTAGCAGCTGCAAAAAGATTGCAGAGATCAATTACAAACAATGGCATGACAAATAACCACTGCACCATCACGGCCCAAATACCTGCCAATAGAAATAGAACTGTAGCAGAAGAAAGCGAAAGTAATACCAATAGTAATAGGTGCGCTGGTTGCAATCTCAAAACAACTGAAGCACCACTTAGCATTGACCAATTCACCATCAGTCAACTGCAAAAGGCAGCTTTACTTGGAGCAGCTTACATCTTGCAATGATACTTCTAACACCATCAGACATCAACATCTGCCTATTCCAGATTCTTGGGAAGGACTCAATAAGTTGATAAAAATGCCAAATACAGTCTGAACATCTGGCTGACTATACAGTGAATCATAATAAAATCAACCACCAGGTACTATGTAATTTCTACAACATTTAGAAAATTATCAATTGCAGTTATTAAACTTTAAGCCATAGATATTCAATAGGAGCTTTAAGAAACACTTGGCTTGAAAGGAGATATTAAAAAAAAAACCATCATGAAATTCAGTGCAAGAAATACTAAGGTATCCAGTAAACAGTCACCACACTGCATTTGAAAAAATATCTTCTATGCGATTGATTTCTTGCATGAATAGCAATTTCTTTGGGACAAGACTCTCAAGAAATTTGGCGTTATTACTTTTAAGTGTGAAAATTAGTCAGAGGAAAATATTAAATACGTTGTTCATGATCAAGGAAAGATAGAGACAGTGAAGTCTGCCCAGTTAGAAGAAAGAGGTCCAAAAATATGAATGTTTATTTAAATGTAAATAGGGCTTGCTTTTGATGTACAACTGTCCTTGAAATTCTTTTGCCGGGACTTCTTAATTCTTCTATAGAAAGTTTCTACAGAAAATGTCAGACATTTGGGGCCTATTTAACAGATTACAAGCCAGCCTTCATGGGAGCAGCTTGAGAGTAAGGCAAAACATATTGCACTTGCCATGCAAATCTCAGCATTAAACCACAGTTTCCCCACATTTCTAGCATTCAACTTGGCACATTTAGGCATTGAGGACTCCAATTTCCATCAGTCCTGTTGAATACTAGCGCGGGAAATACTAGCGCGGGAATAAAGGACTCCCTTCTGATTGGTTCCCGGGCGGAGCCGGTTCAATCCTCGNTACTGAACTGTAAGTTTTGTTATTAAGGATTCCTGACAATAAACATGATCTGAAAAATATTCCCAAGCGTGGAGTTAATTGGCTGCCCGAGCAGAACCTCATTGCCCGGGGCAGAACACTGAGGAAAATGAGAGTGGAGAATTGAGCTGTTCATTTTTCCACAACCTGGCGGGGCAGAGGAAACGAAACGAGGCGGCCTCAGGTGACAGCCCTTTGGAGGCGTCACTTCTTGGGCCAAGCCCAGGTCCATATGTAACAAAGCCCATGGTAATGTGGTTGCCACCGCAGCGCTGGCTGCCTGGTAACCGGGTCCTGCCCCTTTAAGCCGCCGGAGGGTGGGACAGAGGTGAAGAAATCCTTTCTACCCCAAACCTCCAGTCGGTTTCTCCGGCGCTCCCACGGGTCGCTGGGTTCTGGAGCCATCACCCTTTCCTTTTCTTCCTTTCGTGTGCTCACTCCCCATCCCATGTGGGTGGCGGCTGGAGTGCAAATCCGGGCAGCCGGCTCTGGCTCTCCCTTCCCCAAGCATGTCTAGTTGCTGCTGGCGCCGCTTTTGGTGAATCCGGCTGGTCGGCGGGGCTTCTGCCATCGCTGCTATTGCTGCTGCCGCTGCCAGCACCACCACTACCAGAGAGCTCGCCGTTCCGAACCATGCTCATGAGTATGGCCGGGCTCGGAGCGGCGGCATGCACTTTAAAATGCCAGCGTGCCTCCTGGCCATAAATCAGGACATGCTTCACTCTATGGCGGGCTGAAGCGGCATATACTTTAAAGTGCCGGCGTGCCTTCTGGGCCAGCCATTCAGCGGGACCTGCTGAATGGCCGGAAGTCACACCGGCACTTTAAAGTGCATGCCACCTCGCCCCGCCATAGAGCAAAACATGTCCTGCTTTATGGCCGGGAGTGGGAGGCATGCTGGCACTTTAAAGTGCATGCCGCCACCCCGGTCATACAATGGGACCCGCTGTATGGCCGGAAGCTGCCATATCCTGCTCTATGGCGAGGTGTAGAAATAATAAAAAAGAAAAAAGTGCCAGCCTGTGCACCAGCAGAGGCGGGTAACATACACACACACACACACACACACACACACACACACAAACACAAACACACAAATTACTTATAATAAAACAAATTACAATTACTTACAAATAATATTGAATTCCTCCCCCCTACCCCCTCCCTCCGACCGACATACCTNGTGTGTGTGTGTGTGTGTGTGTGCGCAAAGCTTGGACACTTGAGCCTCTTGGCTGGAGAACTGGTTGGAGGAGGCGCCTGATGTCCAGCTGTAGCCTTTTCTGGCCTTTCTCCTTAGCCCAAAAGAAAAACGGTGGGAGGGAGCCTTTGGGTCAGAAGGAGGCCAGGAAGTCACATCTCCCATCAGAGACCCCTGAATATACCTTGTGAGGTCGTCTTTTGGATCAATCTTTTGCAGTTTGGACCCACAGCAGGGTCCTCTGGTACTTGCTTGTCCTCCTGAGCTGCTGCCAACATGACCAGCCTGGCGGCAGGCCAGAGAGCCATGGTGGCCAAGGTCTAGCTAGAAACCAGTGGTTGTGGGTTGAAGCCTCCTTAGGAGCCTGGGGGGCTTTGGGACAGACCCACCTCACGGAATCATTGGGATGGGGGGAAAGGAAGAGGTGGGAGTGTTAGGCATCTACATCCCCTTAAGTTGATCAGCAGGAAAGGTAAGGTAAAAATCAAATCCATTTGCTACCATTTACTTTGAAATAAATACACAAAATTTCCTTCTTCTTGGCTCTCCTCTTCTGCCCTTTCCAGTTGGGGTGAGGGGCTCCCCAAGCAGGCTCGCAAGAGGCAGTTCTGCCCCCCCCCCAAGTGCTGCCCACCTAAACATGATGAGCCATGTTCCCTGATTCCATTCCCACTCCAAATAGTACTTCCTGGGACAACGACGCCTCCATAGTGCAAGAATTTCCCCTTCTAGCTTCCCTTCAGGAGCACCAATGCCGAATTTCTTTCCACCCCATTTCCTTGGCAGAATCCCCTGTGCGGCAGACGGTGGCAGCACGGAGCTTGGAGTGTTCGCTCTGTGCTGAGCTTGCAGCTCCAGCGGCTTTCCCACAAGTGAGAGGCTGCGAACCAGAGCAGGGAGGCCGATGTCTGGCGGCAATCCTTTGGCCATGCCCAAGGAGGCAGCAATGTCAGAGGAGACACGAGTGACGTGCGGTGAGGTTTATGGCTGGTGAGGCAAGCGGGCAAAAGCCGCCCAGCTGCCCCGGCGCTATGTCCGNTTATTACAAATTAAACATAATTAAAGCATAGTGATTAATCTGCCAATCTTGGTTTGGTAGAAGATCAGGCAAGCTGGATTTTCCAGGATAAAACGACCTCCCTGCCTGCCTCCAGCAGCAGTTCATGGTTTAAATGAGTTTCACTTTATTAAGTTTACTTTTTTTACATTCCGTTTCACCCACCCACCCAGTTTTCTTTTTCTTTTTCTTTCTTTCTTTCTTACTTACTTACTTACTTACTTACTTTCTTACTCACTTTCTTACTTTTTCTTTCTTTCCTTCCGTGCCTCCCTCCATTCCCTTCCTTTTTCTTTCTTTCTTCCTTCCTTTCTTTCTTTCTTTCTTTCTTCCTTTCTTTCGAATTGTTACAACCAGGCATAGGAATACGTCGCAGTTAATTGGTGTGAGCAATTGATTAAACACAGATTAAGAAGTTGTCCTTTAAATGGGATTTTAAATGGAGACTTAAACTACATCGAACTGTGCTTCCATCCCGAGTGGAATTCTTTGGGATGGAAGGAATGGGTGGGCGGGGTCTGTCCTCCCCTCCAACCTCTCCTGCCAGCCTTCCTGGGGGTCAAAAATCCTCCTAGCTCAGTTTAGCCTGCAGGACAGGACCAGCAGTGGGGGCAGCAAAGGCAGCGTCCAGGCCCAAAGTGGCTTGAATCCTGGCGTGCACCTGCCTGGGTGAGAGCCTGTCCTGCCGGCTGAAGTGGGTGGCCCAACTGCCTCGCCGGTCTTCTGCTCTCCGGCCACCTTCGAGCCCCTGTGCAGGCGGCTGGGCTGAAGTGGCACCACCATCAGCGCCCACTTTGGACATCAGTTGGAGCCGAGGCTGATCCACCACCCAGAAGAACCCATCTCTCTCCCCCTTCAGTGCCTCGGCCTTTCCCTGGCATGGAGATCAGGCAAGGAGGCACCTGGGTTGCTCCCGGAGTTGGCTGCTTTGCCACCCAGTGCTCTTCATGCACCTGCCACTTCAGGATGTGCTCCTGAGCATAAGCAACGCCAGTGGAGGTGGATGGTCTTAGACAACCCCTATGAAAGGGTCTTTCGACCCCCAAAGGAATCATGACTCACAGGTTGAGAACCACTGCTCTATTTGGAGCTATCCTTGAAGAGCATTCAACATCGCTGCTTTGCCATCAAAGGAACTACCACCCAACAGATTTCCACATGCAATTCAAGATAATATCATCTTGAACTGCATGTAGAAATCTATTGGGAGGTAGTTCCTTTGATGGCAAAGCAGTATTGTTATGTGGGCATATCATGATTGACATCTTTGTATTGCCAGACCACTTATTTTGCCATGTTCATGGCAAAATGAACATGCTCTGGGTCCTTCTGTTAAATGCTGTCATCTAAAGAGGACTCAAAAAAATATGTCTTCTTTATTGTGGCATCTGTCCAAGTTTGGATGACTGTGACCCTAGTAATCTTCCGAAGCCCTTGAAGACCTGGTTTTCTCCTCAAGTGCTGGTGCCAGGATGCTAGTTCAGGCTTATTGCAGTGAATTACAACTTATTACAACTCTCAGTTGCATTGTATTATTGATTTAGTTTATATTGTGTTCCTTTATGTTTTATGTATTGCTAACCACTAAGAATTACTAGACTGAGATGGAAGCTCATATGAAATAAATATATAGGGTCTATTTGGTTCCAAAAAAATAATATTCAGATATGCAGCATTGTATATATAAGTCCTGGCAATCCGTTCTATTTCATTTGTTCTTCAGAAAGAATCCCTTCATTCAGATATGTCTCAAGTAAGGCCGTTGGAAGGACGAATTGCCCGTGTCCTTCAACGCAGGAAGTCACATCATCAACATCCACATGCTACAGAGAACTATGAGTCACCACTTCATTCAAGAGACCATTGCAGCATAAACTGGCATTCAGAGGGAATGCACAATAGTGGGAAAGCTCCCCTGAGTCCCCCCAAAGTAAGCCAAAGGGACAATTACCTGCTCAACAATTGGATTCAGTCTGAAACAGCTTGCCAGGAAGAAAACAGTCAAGATAAGAAACTGCTCTCGAACAGATTTCGGAAAATTACCGATACTTGGAAAACAGATCAATTGTACCATAGGCAAATTACAGTATCACCTGAACCAGATCCAATTCTAAAGCCTGCTGAATCCGTTTACTATGAAGATTTGCAACCCTCTCATTTAAACAGATATATTGTGTGGCATAATCCTGCCATTCTCAGTAAGCCAGCCACAATCTCAACACAACTGAAGTGTGAAAGGTGTAGTAAACCAGATTCCGAATGTGCTTCTAGTGTCGGAGAGATTATAACAAGCTGCAATCCATCCTCAGACTGGATGCCTAATTGTGGGATGGTTCGACCTCAGACAAAATTACTTGATATCCAGGATTCTTTTACAAAGGGAGAAGCCATCAAGTACTTGAACGATCTTACAAGGCGGGGACTAAGAGACCTGAGGGATCATGACAGGTATGGCAGAAAGCATAAATTCCAGGGCATCCATGCTTTCTTTTTGTAATAATTCATCTTCAAAAACAGCAGAACCTATAAACACCTCAGCCACAGACTCCACTACTGAATTGGTCTTTTTATTTTTTTGTATTTTTCTCTCTTAGTTATTGTTATGAAATTGTTTCAATATCCTCTAATGTAGGGATGGTTTAGAATACACTGGCAGGCCTCTGTGGTGTGCAGTAGTCTGCCAAAATTGCATATTCCCAATACTTTATAAACTACAAGTAAAGAAATTGCTGTGCTTAACTGTTTGTGTCTTTCACCCTCAGTGTTCCTATTCTGTAAAATAGGAATATCACTTAGCTGTCTTTAACCATGCTATCCACTTTTCAAATATTGCATCAGAATCATTGTTCTATAATAGTAATATTTCTAAAATAGATCATCATCTAGATCAGTGGTTCTCAACCTTCCCAGTACCGCAACCCTTTAATACAGTTCCTCATGTTGTGGTGACCCCCAACCATAAAATTATTTTCGTTGCTACTTCACAACTGTAATTTTGCTACTGTTATGAATCGTAATGTAAATATCTGATATGCAGGATGTATTTTCATTATTACAAATTGAACATAATTAAAGCATAGTGATTAATCACAAAAACAATATGCAATTATATATTGTGAAATATTTATCACTTACATGGGTAGTTGTCGTAGGGTCCCCAGAACACTTCTTTGCCCAGGGGGCCCATAATACTGTTAAATTGGCCCTGTGCATGCCAGCTATGGACTTGGGCCATAGAGGATGCCAAGAATGTGTGGTGGAGGCTGAGGGCACCAGTTCCCATTCCTGGCACTGCCATCTCTCTGATTCACTAGCACACCCGTAAGGGAGAGAGATTGAACCCCCCCCCTCTTTAGCCCTGCCAGGAACAGGCCTGAGCCCCACAGGAAGAAGAAGCACACACAGTGCCAGGTGTCCAATCTCTTTCCAGGCAAGGGTTGGCACAGCAGTGGGACATGCCAAGGTGAGGACTCACCCTTCCCACTGGACATCCCACACCAGAGAAAGTGCCTCCTTGCTCTCTGCCCCCTGGATTGGGTGGTACTGGACTAGAAGACCTTTCCTGGAGAGAAGGAGCCAGATGCAGCACACAACAAGGAGTCTTGGGGTTTGGGGTGTGTGTGTGTGTGTGTGTGTGTGCGCAAAGCTTGGACACTTGAGCCTCTTGGCTGGAGAACTGGTTGGAGGAGGCGCCTGATGTCCAGCTGTAGCCTTTTCTGGCCTTTCTCCTTAGCCCAAAAGAAAAACGGTGGGAGGGAGCCTTTGGGTCAGAAGGAGGCCAGGAAGTCACATCTCCCATCAGAGACCCCTGAATATACCTTGTGAGGTCGTCTTTTGGATCAATCTTTTGCAGTTTGGACCCACAGCAGGGTCCTCTGGTACTTGCTTGTCCTCCTGAGCTGCTGCCAACATGACCAGCCTGGCGGCAGGCCAGAGAGCCATGGTGGCCAAGGTCTAGCTAGAAACCAGTGGTTGTGGGTTGAAGCCTCCTTAGGAGCCTGGGGGGCTTTGGGACAGACCCACCTCACGGAATCATTGGGATGGGGGGAAAGGAAGAGGTGGGAGTGTTAGGCATCTACATCCCCTTAAGTTGATCAGCAGGAAAGGTAAGGTAAAAATCAAATCCATTTGCTACCATTTACTTTGAAATAAATACACAAAATTTCCTTCTTCTTGGCTCTCCTCTTCTGCCCTTTCCAGTTGGGGTGAGGGGCTCCCCAAGCAGGCTCGCAAGAGGCAGTTCTGCCCCCCCCCCAAGTGCTGCCCACCTAAACATGATGAGCCATGTTCCCTGATTCCATTCCCACTCCAAATAGTACTTCCTGGGACAACGACGCCTCCATAGTGCAAGAATTTCCCCTTCTAGCTTCCCTTCAGGAGCACCAATGCCGAATTTCTTTCCACCCCATTTCCTTGGCAGAATCCCCTGTGCGGCAGACGGTGGCAGCACGGAGCTTGGAGTGTTCGCTCTGTGCTGAGCTTGCAGCTCCAGCGGCTTTCCCACAAGTGAGAGGCTGCGAACCAGAGCAGGGAGGCCGATGTCTGGCGGCAATCCTTTGGCCATGCCCAAGGAGGCAGCAATGTCAGAGGAGACACGAGTGACGTGCGGTGAGGTTTATGGCTGGTGAGGCAAGCGGGCAAAAGCCGCCCAGCTGCCCCGGCGCTATGTCCGACATAGAGGTGGGACGCCTCTATGTCGGACATA